ATAACGTTAACGTTGTAAAGTTTGTTTATAATATCATCAAACCATTTTTGTTTCACACTTTTAATCTTTCTTTCAAAACAGATATTGTTTCGAAAAAAATTTTCAAAACAGGTATTGTTTCGAAAAAATTTTTCAAAACAGGTATTGTTTCGAAAAAATTCAAAATTGCACAAATCACACAGGTTTTTAGGAGCGGCAATTACTTTATTTTATCTAATTATAGACTTATATCTATATTATCTTGTTTCTAAAAATTGTTTAAAAAAAATAACATACAACTGGCTATTTATTCATTTATCAGAAAACGATATGTTGTATTCAAAACAGTTTGGTTTTTAAAAAAAAAATTGTTCACTTATCATGCAATGGTTGAAATAGTCAATCAAATAACAAACACATTATGTACTAACTACTTTACATCAGCAGTTTTAATTGATCTGTCAAAGGCAATATTTTGATACTTTAAACCATAATATACTAACAAAAAAAATTGAATATTATGGAGAAAATAATACTAACTTACTTTGGTTCAAAAGATATTTGACCGATAGAAAGCAATTTATTCAATATGAGCAAACAAAAACAACTCCATATGCTGTAACTTGTTGTGTCCCCAAGGGCTTTATTTTAGAACCCTGATTACTTTTAGTATATATAAATGATTTAAATTTAGCAACAAACTTGTTAAATATTGTTTTTTTTTGCAGATGACTCCAACCTTTTTTTTTTTGCACAGAGATACTAAAACAATTTTTGAAACTGCTAACGAAAAGTTGTGTAAGGTTAATTACTGATTTATAAGTAATAAACTCTAAATGTGGATAAAATCAAATTTATTTTATTCCATAAAATAAATAAAATTTTAAAATATTCTTACTAAACTGCCAAATTTATTAATCAATAACACTAACATTCAAAAAGAAACTTTACTAAGCTTTTTGGGCGTTATATTAGATGAACATTTTACGTTGGAGTAATCATATAAAAAGCATTGAAAAATATCAAAAAATATTGCCATGATATAAAGGGCTAAACCATTTGTAAATAATTAATTACAAATGGTTTAGCCCTTTTAAGACTTTACAATTAATTAAATTAATTGTAAAGTCTTTATTTTCCTTTTACTCATTGTTATTTAATTTATTGTAATATTGCATGGGAAAGTAAAAGCCATACAAAATTAAAAATATTGTACAGTAAACAAAAACATGCGTGCTTAATATTATCTGGAGCTGATAAAATTATACCCTGTGAACCTGTTCTGCGTATACTTGGTGCATTAAATATTTATTTAATGTAATTTTATTGTAATATTGCATGGGCAAATACAAATCATACAAAATTAAAAAATTGTAAAATAAACAAAAACGTGCGTGCAGAATACTTTTTTGGAGCTAATAAAATTGTACCATGCAAGCCTCTTTTGCTTATACTTGGTGCATTAAATATTTATAAAATCAACTTACAGCAAATTTTAATGTTCATCTATAAAATAAAGATGGGGCTATCTCCTAAAAAGTTTCAGTCCTATTTTGAAAAAGTAGTGATAAATACCCGATTATATTTTCTATATATGGTAATATGAGTATCTAGGTAGTATGAGCTTACCAAAAGATTTATAAGGTGTGAATAGTGAAGTTCAAACTGCTATGTGCTTTTTGAAAAGATATTATGTGGTAATGACAGAAACCAGTATAATTAGCATAAATATATTGGAATTAGTTAGGAGCTTTTATCTAATTAAAAAACGCTATTGAGTTTTTCGCTTTGTTAAAATAAAATCAACACATTAGAAAATATCTGGCACGAAAATTCAATATTGAAATACTTTTTCATTAAGAAAAATGTATTAGCTAAAAAATTCCGTTTTTGTTCGGAAAACAATGCATTAAAGCATTTATTTTTGACTATATTATAACATTTTTCTTTTTTTAATCTTTACTTTCAACAAGGCTACAAGCAACCATTATTAAGGTTAAAAGTTATTGATAAAGAAAAGATGAAGTTTATGAAGCAAGATGAAGTTTTTGAAGCCAGATAATGATTAACGTACAACTTTAAAGGTTGCAATTTATTTATATCAAGAAAAAATGATAAAGGGAAAAAATTCCAAGTAACTGATTTGAGAAAAAAAACTAGACAAATGAAAATTTTGGGAGCTGTTAGCAACATCACAGTAAATAAATTATACTTAATTGAATAACGTGTAAAAAAAAAGTTCGGGCAGAGCCCAATATAGTCTTTATAAAAAGAGAAAGAGAAGCAACATTACGATGATGTGACATTAGTTAAAGTTTAACTGCAAGAGCAGATCCAACTATGTTTACAATGTGTTTTTGCATATTTTTTAAAGAGAAAGAGCAGTATTCATAACTCTGCGCCAGATATGGTATTCGTATTCCATACAAGGATAGATTAGAGATTTAATGATATAAAAATTAGAATGCAAAAAAAAAACAAAAAATTGTGAGCAAGATAAGGAGATGCAACCTTGTAAATACTAATTTTACAATAGATTTGAAATATGTTCAAATAAGATCGAAAGTAAGATCTAGCCCTAAAACACTAAAGCTAGATGATTATTTGAGTATACAACAAATAATAAATATAAGAAGGCCTAAATTACAACATTAAACTGAAAAAAACCTTTATCTGATTTAAAGTTCATTAGCCTCATGCTGTAACAAAATTGAGATCCTTTTTAAGCTCAAATGTCCATTTCAATCAATCCAATAGGTTAGGTTTCTTATCAAGTCTAGAATAAATGGTTGTATCATGAATTAACAATGCCATTTGAATTGTAGGAAATTCTGGGAGATCATTAACGTAAATTAAAATAATTATAGGGTCTAAAATAGAATCTTGAGGAACTCTTTATAATAAAGGATATAAATAAGACCGCTGTTTAATGATAACAACTTTTATACCACATTTTAAAGGATCCAATAGTCTTAAAGATGTTGCATGATACATCGTTAGAAGTGAGCTTGCGGAGAAAACCAGTATGCCTCATTTTATCAAAGTATTTATAATTGATTAAAACAATAGCCCTAAACTCTTTTTTTACCTAATTCACAATAAAATTTAAAAACTTTTACCTTTAACAAATCAGCAGTAGAAAGAAAAGATCGAAACTCATATTGATAATCGGAAAGTAAGTTATTAGATTAAAGACGTGAGATTTAGTCCCTGTTAACTAAAAACTTAGAAATCTTGCTTATGATAGTAAGAAGTATTTAAACAAGTCAGACTGCTCTCCTTCATATTTGAAAATAGGTATAACAGATGCTGCTTTCCAGCAGGCTGGACACCAAGACTCTGATAAACATTTGTTAAATAGTTTTGAATGTATAGACTCAGAAGAAAACTTTTGCAAGACTATTGCAAGTATGTTGTTTGGTCCACAAGCCGTAGATAATTATACGTATGAAATCACTTTAATTACAAAATTTGGAGTAATGCAAATGTCAAAAATTGGATTAATCTGCTTGTTGGTCACATCAGGTAGGATATTGTTAGTGAAATCAATGATGAAATTAATGAAAAGTTTCTAACGAATAACTTCAGCTTTGTCTTTAAATAAGGTAACAAAATCTGGACCATACAAGAGAGGTAAAATACCAGATATGTTCTTATTAAAGACAAATTATAGACAAAAAGTAAACAGATTTTTGTTTTCTGGAGAACGTTTTGGTGATAAATAAAGATTTAATGGTTAAGATTAGAGTTTGGAGCAGCACAATAAGTGGGAAATTATGAAGAAGAGTGAGATTTATTTTAGATTATTCCATGCCACCTCTAATCGTAGATGTTATATAAGAGTATTTAAGATAGTTGTAAGAGATACGATAATAGGGGGATACTGAGGAAGAAGAAGAATAAGATATTAGTTTTAGAGAGATCACAAACACCTCAAGGTAAGCTACGAGAAACTGAGCACTTCAGAATTAGAATTTTTAGATTTCACACTTCAGAGTCAGAATTTCAGATTACACACTTCAGAATCAGAAACTCAGAATCAAATGAGTTGTTCAGAATTAAACTGAGCACTTCAGGATCAGAAATTAATATAATTCAGAATATTAATGAATGATAGATTCAGAGAACTTATAAATAATGATCATTATTTATAAGGTCTGCCATTATCATTCAGTAATGACAATTGCTTTTTATGTTTTATAGTTTTTGTTACAAAAAAGGTGTAGAAATAAATTATTTTATATTACCGATACTTGCTTTCTGAATGAGGGTATTAATACTGGAGTTTTTATTTTATATCTTTTAATACTTGTCTTGCTTTTTGCAGGTTTATAAACTAATTTATGTTTAATCCAAAATAAACTAATTTTTAAACTTCATAAATTCGTTCAATTACTCAATTTTTTTCCAATTGTGGAGAATTGTGGAAGAACTTATAGTTTAATAATTTGTTTTATATTTAAAATTTCATAATAATAAAATATTTTTTTACAAATTAATTTTTACTTCTAGCTCTATGAAAAAAAGTTGTAATTAAAAATGAAAAGAAAAATATATATTCACGATTAAATGTTTAGGTATACTTTAAAAATTTATAAAAGTTCAATAGACTTTTTATTGAAATATTGTGTAAAACATATTTTTGTATTTTTAACATATTATTTTATTATTATTATTGTATTATTAACATATTATTTTGTATTATTAACATAATATTGAAATACTGTGTAAAACATATTTTTCATTTATAATAAAAATTAAATATATTTTACGAAAATTATAAAAGGAGATTAATTGATTATAGAATATGCTTTGAAAAAATATTAAACTTATGATGTTATAATAAACGCTTATTTTAACATTGTAAGTTTTTATATTTTTTTAAAGCAGGTTTTATTATCTATGGAAAGTTTTATTTTGTTTATACAACAACAAAAAATTGTTTTTTATTTTTTTTATTATACTTTAGTGTATTGATAAAGTTTTAAAGTATTGTTTATTGTTTCTTACTGATAATTGGATCATGCATTAAACTGCATAATATCATTTTGTATCATGAATGTGAATCTTAATTGTAAATAACTCTAAAAAAAAAATTTTAATTAATACAAAAAAATATAGTTACAGCGCTAAATGCATAACATGATCCACACTTTGATCCTTGGTCCTTAACTTGGGTGACGTAACCTTTAGTTCTCCAGTCTATCTTTTCAGGTATATTGACATTATTAGGAGGTAAAAATGTAGATCCTTTTGTGGTATTTACAATATCCTTTGGAAGTTTCAAACATCGTCCATAAATCTTTATAAATTCTTCATGAGTCTAATAAAAATAAAAAAATATGTCGCCATTAGATATATAAGATTTATTTTTCAATATAATATCTTTAAAACTTCAAATATCTTTACAACTTCAATAATACGATTAGCCTACTAATACTATAGGTAGGCTTACCATACTTGTAAAGTTGTAAACGGGGACAAGCAGGGGTTGCTGCGTCGGAGGGGGAGGTGGTTGGATTTTAAAAAGAGACATTGGTGTATGTGTGTGCTTGAGTAAAAGGGGGGAAGTGTTGTAGAATGCTGAAACAAATGACCAGAGAGATAGTAGGAGGAAAAAAATAGTTTCTCTTGTCCTTTTAAAAACATGGCACCCTGTAACTGGATTTTATGAAAGTCTTTATATAAAAAAGGAAGAGCTCCGTTTCTCAGCTGGGATATAAGGCAAAGAAATAATACCTAAATATTTTTGTTTTATTTGTTAAATCTAACAAAAAATATGAGAAAAAAACTATTCACAGTTTTTATATGAGTTAAACCTTTCAGTATAATGTACTTTTCTAGCACAAAATTTTTTTTTAATTTTCATAAAAAAGTGAGCATCTAATGCCAAAGTTCAACTTGCAGTACAGCAATGCACGTATCTTCAAAAGACCTTGGTCATCTGAACAAATATTTTTCATAATTAAAAAAGTTCGCTCTTCAGGTGCAAATGTTCCTGGTAAAAACTAAAGGTATTCAATAACTTTTACCAGATTAGGTATACCAATGCCTTTTTATTGAAAGTGTTTGAATCGTTTTGTCAAAATAAGCGAATTCTATATTCCACCTCTACAAAATTAAAAAATTCCGTTACTCGAACTTGGTAGACATGAAAGTATTTATAAATTTTCACAACAAGAGTTTTATTTGGATGACCATCCGCAGCAGATTAAAGTTTATTGTGCAAAATGTATGCACCACAACCATTGACAACAATTTTACTCCACCAAAATATGTAATGCAATAGTTGGAACAAAAAGCAGCAATTTTTTATTCACTTCCTGACGCTGCTATGTTGATATTAACTTATCTATCAATATTTTAAATGTTTCATCATCAGCCGAATCAAAATCCACAAGTTTTACTTTGACACATTTTAGTGGTAAAAAAGATCTAACAATAACTGGTGTTAGTTTTACTTTTCTTCTATTTCATGTGTCATTTGAATCACTTAAAAAAGTGTCTTTTGTGAGTCATCGTGTACTTTTTTTACAGATAAAGGTGCCAGAACATTTAAAACTATTGCTTGACGTTTGGTTCTTGCAGCACCAAATTTCGGTTCAAAAATTTTGAGATCAGTTTTGTGATCAGATCCCGGTCAAAACTGGACGTATATAAAAAAGCCTATATAAAAAATACTACAATTTAGATATATACAAGATACCCCCTAGAAAAAGTTCAACTCTCGTTGAAATTGGATTGCACGCTTTAAAATGATTCGAAACCAGGTTTTGCGTTATGATAAAAAGCTCTGAACTGGAAAGTTTTATTGCATTCACCCAGGGCGTACTGAAATTACAGGAAATGCTAAAATAACAGGTACATTGGGAGTTAATATTTTTTGTTTTCATGCTCTTAACTATTTGGTTGCTTTTTGATTTAAGTTTTAAATAAGAAGTACTTGTATAAAGAACAACAACAATTTTAATTGTTGTAAGTTTTTTTACTCTAAAATAAACAAAGTAAATAATCAATACACAATACTCTCTGCAGCCATAAATTAAACAGAGTTCATAATAAATAAACGAAACTCTCCATGTATCTTCTTCTATATGCCGTAATCGTAGGCGATTTACCTTTGAGGATCTACGCGCGTCATTTTCAGGTTTTATTGAAAACAACTGATCAATCGAACAAAAATCATTAGCAAGATTTTCAGGTAGTGGAGTTAATAAAGCTGAGGCTGTTTAAGAGAGTTTTTAAGAAAGGTATTCGTAAGTCCCTATATTTCTTAGGTGTTAACGGTTTATACGGGTAAGAAGGTTTATTAAAGACATTCTCTGGTGAATCTTCAATATGAATTGCTTGATAAATGATCGGCGTGAAACTTGTTTGGGATAAGTGTCTTAGCAAAACCTTTTCTCTTCCATCTGGGTACCTTATGTGAATATATTGAGGACTAGCATCTATGAGTTGAAATTCGACTGCCATTAGTTCATACTTATTATCATGTAAACGTCTTTTCATTATTATTAGTTGAGGATGGCATAACCATAAAGAGACAGTGAATCCAGTTGCTATTTTAAGAATGTGCTTAAACATTATTTCATGAGGTGCCTCCATTGTTTTAGCATTTATTAATAATCTTATAGAATAGAGAACATCTAGTAATACTTTTTCCCAAGCTTTGATGCGTAAATTGTGTTGTCTATTAACAATCTCAATAGACTTTATTATGGTTCCATTAGACTTTTCTGCTTGACCATTCCCTTAAGGGTTATATGCTGTAGTATGAATTGTCGCAATACTTTTCTCTAGTAAGTATTATTTTAAAGGCTGAACCTCTATCGGTATGAATATAACTTGGCAAACCAAAAACCGAGAATACCTTTGAAAAACACTTGAATACAGTCTGAGATGAAATATCAGGCCGCGGGATCGCAAATGGAAAACACTTTTCCATTTTCACTGATTAGTTATTAGTTTAACATCATCAATTGAGAAAGATAAACTACGATTTTTATTAAAAGCATAAAATCTAGTAACTCCAGAATGACACAATGATTGATGAAGCTGAATTAAATTGCAAGTGTTTCTTGCTGAGCAATTTATTTTAGAAAATTTGTCAGCTGGAATGTTTAATGTTATTGCAGCTACTGTTGGATCTGATATATTATACTAAAGGTAATTTTCAGCATTTTTTTGTGCTGATTTCAAGACTCTTGCTTTTGAAAACATTTCATCCAGGCTTATTGTGCTGTTTTCTAGCAGTTACTGTCTGACAATTTGAGAATTTTCTCCCTGTTATAAATGCATCTCTAATATTTTCATCGCAATATTTAATAGTAGAAACCGATTTAAAGTTACATTTTTTTGCTAAGACTTTAAGAGCATGTATATATTCATCAAAACATAGCTGTTGCTAATATGTTGCTAAGAGGTGTCGAGCATAAACCTCGTTTGATGGTTTTATATACACAAATTGCAAAGCTTGTATTGCTATTTTATAACTGGATTAATTTGATTACATAATTATAGTAAGAATAGAAAACTGAAGCACTTGTATAAAAAACAATAACAGTTTAAATTCTTATATGTTTTTCTACTCTATAATAAACAAAGTAAATAATCAAACCATCTTGCAATGGTATAGGTTGAGCTTATGGTTTGATTATTTAAGTCTAATTCACAAATTGTATAACCTGCTTAAATAAAGGACTTAAAATATGAAGATAAATAGATATGATATTTTTAGTTCAGGTGGTTTATCACATCATAATTTTTTCTGGTCTTAATTTTTTTTATTAAAAAAATCAAGACCAGAATCTTGATTTTTATTTATAAAAAAAGTTCTCCCACTACCTTGTCTAAGTTTTCCAAATGCTCTTTTTGTTGGGTCTGTTGTCAAATGCCCAAGCAATAGATACACGTGCACTTTTTTCCAAAACTGAGCCACCTTAATTGAAAAAATACTAGCTCTATCAGTATCATGATATTTTTTACCTTAATGACTCTTTAAATGCATTTATAGTCTCTTCACAAAATAGTTTTAGACATGAATTGACCTTGTCTTTCTTAATTTGTCTTTGGCTAGCAGGAACATAAGTCAGCTTAGACATTTTAACTACCTAACTTTCTTCACTATCTCACCTTCTTCCAACTTTTGAAACTCTTTGGTGTAATCCCATTTATCATTTCTTTTTATCCTTTTAGCATTATACTATTGTTTTTTGTTTTTTTTTTGATTCAGATATAAACATAATATGCAATGTTGATTATGATGAAGATGATCAAAGAAATGAATTATCTCTGACTTTAAAATAAAAGCTGTAGATTGCAATATCATAAAAAAATTGTTTAATAATACTGGTAATAATACCAAAACATATATATATATATATATATATATATATATATATATATATATATATATATATATATATATATATATATATATATATATATATATATATATATATATATATATATATATATATATATATATATATATATATATATATATATATATATATATATATATATATATATATATTTATATATATATATATTATATATATATATATATATATATATATATATATATATACTGTTAAAATGCTTAGTTCTAACATTAACTTTAAAAATTTGTTTTAAATATAAAAAATAAACAAGCGTCAGTTATAAATTGTAGTGTTTCATTTTATGAAAAAGTCGTATCTTTCTACACACGATGTAGAAGAAGTACCACCATATTTCTTTTTTGGTCCTAATCTTTTATAAATAAATAGTCTAAAATAAATCATATAAAAGAAAAAAGTTGAGTTTCTCAGTTAATTTTAAAGGTCCCCGCCTGACCTTTGAAGTTTGATAGTTTTTGTATATAAATTTGACTGGCGGGGACCTCTTTTGTCACATGAATTTAAATTTTTCGGGCCCAAAATTTTTTTACTTTGGTGGCAACCATTCCATTACTTTCCAGGAGGAAACAACTTGATTTTCAAAAACTCGTGTTTTCAATGGTTTCAATTGTGGTCAACCATTACATATATATAAATTTCGTCAAAAATGAATCACCCTAATAAATATATATCTCTGTATATATATATATATATATATATATATATATATATATATATATATATATATATATATATATATATATATATATATATATATATATATATATATATATATATATATATATATATATATATATATATATATATATATATATATATATATATATATATATATATATATATATATATATATATATATATATATATATATATGTATATATATATATATATATATATATACATATATATATATATATATACA